GCGCAGTCCATCCGGTCTTCATTCCGCATTTGGGGAGGCCGCAGTCCCCAGCGGGACTGACTCGTGGTGAGCGCTAATGCCCGGGCGCCCGGGCCTCTGTGCAGAGGGTCATTTCATCTGCCCCATCCACCCCCTGGGAGGCCGGCGTCTCCATCGTCTTCATCTCGCTGGATGATGAGACGGGACACCAGCGGACAGGTTAGGTGACCTGCCCCGTGGCTGCTGGCTACAAAACAGCAGAGGGCTTCAGATTCTAGCTCAGGGAGCGTTTGTGGATACAGCGAGGGGCCAAAACGCAGGGAAGGAGGGGACCCGGCCTGTGGGTCTGGCCTCCTGAGCCCTCCTGGTGGCCTGGGGCTGCATCCCCGTCCCCAAGGGAGGTAGAGGTGTCCTGGCTGCTGTATCCTGAGCCGCCCTGGGGACAGGGAGCCTGATTTGCCTTTGCAATCTGAATCATTTTGGCTCTTGGCTCTCAGACATGGGTCACCTTGGGGAAACTGAGGACGCCCAGCACTGCTGAGGGATCTGTGCACCTCTGCATGTGCTGATGAAGGTGGGTGAAGAGGACTCTAACCCTCAGATCGACCTACATCTTGATAGCGTCCACTCTGACCTCGCACTAGACAGGAAGGGAAACTGAGGCTGGGGAGGAGATGGCAATTCCCAGTGGCTCAGGGACCGACACATCTTAGTGCAGGATCCTTTTCCCTCATCAAGGATGGTGGGTTCATTCGACGAAAACGGGATGCCAGTGGGAGACCAGAAGGTGGCCTTGGGCGGATGGTCTTTGAGGACTCGGTGTCGTGTCTGCTCCTCCCTTTAGACGGGACAGGAGCGCATTTCCTGCAGGAGGTTTGGTCTAACCCCTAGGAATGGCAGAAACCCACTGAAACCAGCCTTTGGAGAAACAGTTGCTTCCTAGGCCTTTGAGGGAAGGGGTTGGGGGCTATTGGTGTGTCTGGCAGGGATCCTGAACCCTCCTGCCTCCAGGGGACTGGCACACCTTGATGCCTACCTGAGCCCCGCCCCCTCGGCCTTCCTGGGCTTCCTCTGTAATATAGCAATCACCTCCTACCTTGCGGAACTGCTAGGGAGTTCGATGGAAACAATGTGCGCCCTCCCCTTTCCCACTGTGCAGGATTAAGTTTGTGGTTAGATGGTTCGTGTGTAACAAGTTGTTTAATCTCGGCTTCCTGCCTTCAGGCCTACCGGGCGTGGCCGTCTCGTTGGTCACCATGTCATCAGCTTGGAGGCTGGTACTTGGTACACATTTGGGGAGTTACCGATTGACACACCCATACAGCAACACACTTCTGACATGTAAAAGCGTCACCTCTGTGAAAGGCATGTGAAACAGCTGTTGGGAGAAACTTCTGGGGAAGAGAATGCTGCAGTCCGCCCTCCCTCCGCCGCCTACCCCATCCCCCCGCTCCCCCAACCCCCCCTCCGCCCCCTCCTGCGGGAGCTCCGCACACACCTGCCTGCGGCCGAGGTCCAGAGCACAGTGGACCAAAGCCTACAGTGGCATCAGATGCACATCTCGCCTGCTCCCAGCAGGTGGCGCCCGTCCCTGCCCGCAGCCCGGCGGGCGCCCGGCTGTAGCGGTGGGTCCAGGTTGGGGCACATCCGATCCCGGTGTATTCGTTGTGCAGGGCGTGTCTACTCATGGCTCCCGGAGGGCACGGAACGATTTTTGCTCCTCCTTCAAGGCCTAGCTCAGAGGCAGCTCCAGGTGGAAGGGACCTTTTTACCCAGTGCCCGGACTGGGCTTTGTCTGGGGAAGGTGCTCAAACATTGTGACCTGAATGATGGAATGAGGCTAGAGACGTCAGAAAGGAGAACTCTGGTTGTGGGAAGGAGGGAGGCCCCCTGAGTCTCATGCTTCATTTGTTAGAAGTGAATAGATGCATAAATATATAAAATCATGTTTTTGAATAGGTAATGAGTCCACAAGGATGGAGGGAGGGGAGAGAGGGAGAAGAAGGGGGAGGGGGAAGGAAGGGAGGGAAGAAATCCAAGCAGTATAAAAGGGTGTAAAGTAAAAACCAGGTCTCTCTTTTCCCCTCCCCCGCTGGCTCCCTCCCCCAGCTCCCCACCTAGAGGCCCCCTGTGGTTCTGGCTTCCTGAACATTCTTCCAGAGGCATCTTTCTGCCCAGATCTGTGTGTTTGTGTATGTGTGTGTGCACGGGGGCGTGCACAGAGCCACAACTGTGTGGAAGAAATGGTCTTATCTCAAGAAACCCCTTAGCCAGAAAGATTTGGGTCCGACTAGAGACCTTCTTGGCAGCTTGTGGGGGTGGGGAGGAGGGTGGAAAGCAGCCCTCAAGTGGGAGCTTCAGAGCCTGACTCCCAAAGCTTTGTGGTTTGCAAAGCCCCCCTTTTTTGTTTCATGCTCAGTATTGGGTCTGAGGCTCCTCACAGGTCATTTGGGGAGTTTACAGTTCCCTCATTTTACAAATGGGGAGAAGGGCAAAGGGACCACTCCATGCCACATAGCTGGTGACAGAGGACCTGGATTGCATCGTTGGGTGTCCTGACTGCCTCTCCCTCCCATGATTTTCCACGTACCTGGTGGTGAGGGAGGGGACAGAGGACCCGGGGGCTCTGACCTCTGTGACAGCGGCCCAGTGATGGGTGGGCAGGTGGGCACCACAGCGGCTGACCACCCCCAGGCCCTTCCAATTCGCAGGTTCCTAAGCCACTTAGAGACCAACCTTCAAAATATTTTCCTGCTCTTCCTCCTCCGTCTCCCTCCTCCCTCTTCCCCGCCTTGTCAGGAATCTATAAGAAGAGTGGAGAGCGGATGATAATTGCCCCCCACGGAACTCACCTGCCATGAAAGGGTGTTAAATAACACGTAATTTACATGTCTTCCCTGTAGGAAATTATAGAATCAGAGCTTTCAAATTAGCAATAGATTTTTCTAATTGAATCTATTTCCCGTACGGCAGGTGAAGTGAGAAATGATCAGGTAGTTCAGTTTCCCCTGCAAATGGACCACCAGACAATTGAAGGAATTAAATGCTTATTAAAAGTGCAGGTAAAATTGATATTATATTTCTGGGGAATGTGTCTGCAGCACGATATTGCAGGTGCATTTGTGTCCATATGATCACTTTGTGACAAGACATGAGACAAAGTGTGTCTGTGCTTCGTGGGAGGAAGAAAGGGAATCGGCTGGGTTTGCCCCTGGGCTAATTCTCCTTTCTCTGACCAGTTCTTAGCACACAGCCAGGCTCTGGGATTTGGACCTTGCTCTGGTGCGTCTTTCTGAGTTTGTTTTTTTGTCAATAAATGATAATCACAGATGGTTATGGTGAGCGTCAGGAATATGTGAAACAATGCACGTGAAGCACTTAAAATGGTGCTTGGCACGCGCTGGGTGCTCAGTAATGTAAATACATCTTACTACTATTACTACTTACCTTTTTTATTTCACTATTGCTACTTATCATTATGGTGTTTGCCATACGTGTTTCTTGTTTGTTGGTGCATAATCATCACCATGACATTAGTGGCTTAGAGCAACACGCATTTATCTCATGGTTTCCGCAGGTCAGGAGGTTGGGTATGGCTTGACTGGATCCTTTCAACTTCTGGGGCTCCCACAGGTCAAATCGAGGTGTGGCTCAGCGTCTACAGTCTCACCTCAAGGCTCAACCAGAGGAGGATATAGTTCCAGACGCTCATGGTTGTTAGTTGGGACTCAGTTCCTTGCTGGCTGTTGACTCCTTGCCATTGGGCATTTCCAAGATGGCAGCTCCAACATGGCAGCAAGCTTCTCAAGGCTGGCGAGGGAGGGACCCTGCCAGCAGGACAGAAGTCACCATCTTGTGTAACCTCGTCGTGGAAGTGACATCTCGCCCCCTTTGCCATAGTCCATGGGTTAGAATCAAGTCACAGGTTCCCGCCCACGCTCTAGGGAATCAGCGGTGGGTGGCCTCCGCAGCAGCTGTCCACCTCAGCAACATTCCGCCAGGCAGAGGTTTGGACAGGCACCTCAGCTGGCCGTGGGTCCTTGCCTGTGGGATGACCCTAACCCACATTCTTTTTTAAATTAAAAAAATTTTTTTCGTAACGTTTATTAATTTTTTAATGCTTATTTTTGAGAGACAGAGAGAGACAGAGCGTGAGTGGGGGAGGGGCAGAGAGAGAGGGAGACACAGAATCCGAAGCAGGCTCCAGGCTTCGAGCTGTCAGCACAGAACCCGATGTGGGGCTCGAACTTATAGAGCACGAGCACGGAGCATGGGGCCAACGTTGGACACTTAACCGACTGAGCCACCCAGGAGCTCCCAGTTTTTTAAAGTTAATTAATTTATTTTGAGAGAGAGAGAGACACATAGAAAGAGAATAGGCAGGGGAGGGGCAGAGAGAAGGAGAGAGAATCCTAAGAAGGCTTCACAGTGTCAGCGCAGAGCCTGATGTGGGGCTCAAACTCACGAACGGTGAGATCATGACCTGAGCCAAAATCAAGAGTTGGATGCTTAACTGACTGAGCCACCCAGACACCCTGATCTCTACCCAGACACCCTGTATTGACCAGGAGTCAATACAACCCTTGAGTGTTTTACCCGGCCCAGGAGAAACTCACTGGGGGAATCCCCAACCCCAAATGAGACTCCCACACCTTATTTGTTTAAGGGTTGAAAGAAGAATCAAACCTTTTCAACCCGATTTAGAGCCTAAAGCAGCAGTCCTTGAAACACTGGCCTTGGCAGAAAAGAATTAGCTGCCAAAGGAAACCTATGTGGCAGAAGCCGGGCCGGACGAGGGGCAGCGTGGCTGAAAAAACCATTTAAAGGATGAAACCCTCAGTGAACATACCATAGGGGGAAATATTGATCCCTTTGAAAATAAGCTCAGTAAAATGAAAGTGAAAACAAAACCCATAAAGCAGAAACAGGTTAACCACACTCAAACGACCAACCAAGAAATGAAATGAACGTTGTTAGGAGTTAATCTGGAAAATCGGAGTCTTGAAACTTACATGGTGGCGATGAAGTTCTGAAAATCAACCAGGGCTCCGAGGGCTGGGCCAGGCATCCTGCTGTCTCTCGTGGCTCATGCTGTGTCCCCACCAAGCCTCGTGCTGACCCCAGCGCCCGGGGCTCCCGGAGATGTGCACAAGCTCTTTCCTCCTTCCCGCAGCGGCACGGACCCAGGCACTGTCCGCCTTCCCAGATAGAGGGACCTGACGGCAAAGAGAGGCGTGGCCCTCCTCAGGGGACCCCTGGTAGGGGGCTGGGGGCGCGGGGGGCGGGGGGAACTCAGTGCCGGTCCTCTTCGGCCCACCTGGCCCTGAGGTTAGGAGCCCAGAGCAGGCGGCATGCTGGTGCCCGGGCCCAGGGGACACTGGGGAGGGGGCCCTGCCAAACTCTGGGCTCCCGGCGTCAGCCCTGGAGGGCTGTCAGCTGAGGCTGGGAGACTGGACGGTAAGGAGTGACTATTTACTGAGCACTTACTGTATGCATGACACAGACACCTATTATCTGATACGGGCTCATAACAATCCACAGGGAAGGCATGGTTATTTGTCCGTTTTACACAGGCTCAGCGTAAGGAAGCCTCTGGTCTAAGGCTGCACACAGAACTCGTTTCAGGCCCACCGTCTGTCTGTCTGTCTTCTGTGCCTCTCAGGTCCCCCTCAGGCACGTGGCCTCCTGGTCCGATCTTCCCTTGGGATCCTTTCTTGTGGCTTAATCCCCTCACCCCCGCACCCCCCAATTTTCCCTCTGATGAAAAGCACCCTTGTCTTTCTTTCCCCTGGAAATTCTCCTTCTTGGGAAGGGCTTCGCTCCCCTCTGGCCCTTTGTCCTAGACCCCAGCCTGCAGGCTTTTCCCAACCTGGGCCTGGCCAATCCCGGCCCCCCCCTCCCCTCCTGGGCCCCCTCTCAGGAGGCCCCGGTGAGGTCATCCCTGCACAATAGAGTCTGCTTTCTGCTGAAGAGGGAGACTCGGGGTGGGGGAGAGAGGCAGGAGGCTGCAATTACAGGTCCCACAATGGGGCGCTCTCAGGGGGGCCTCCACCAATTAAAGCTGCTGCAGGGGGCTGGGGGAGGGCGAGGGTGCAGGGGGCCACGCAGGCCTCCAGGATCAGGTCAGGTAGGCTCCGGCGCTCATTGTCTGCTCATGCATTCATTCATCCACACAGACACGCACGCATTCATTCATTCCGTCAATATTGTGCTGGGCACTGTGCTATAAACGACGGGGACACAGCAGATGAGGCCGGGCCTCCACTGGAGCGGACCCTGGGGCAGACAAGACAAGCAGCAAACAGATAAATGTGTGTCACGTTCACGAGTCAAGTGCCATGATGGAAATAAGACCGCATGAAACCGCAGAAAGCAGCGGGGTGGGTGGGGGAGGGACAGTATTCCCAAGGTGGTCAGGGCAGGCTTCTCGGAGGAGGTGATATTTGAGCTGAGACCTGGAAAGCAAGACATGGTCAGCTGTGCCACAACCAGAGGAGGGATGTTCCAGGCAGAGGACACCGTGAGTACCTGAGTCGGGAGCGTGCCTGGCTGCGTGGGGACCAGAAATGTGGCCTGTGTGGTGGGAGGGCAGTGGGGAGGGAGGAGGGAGGCTGTGGGAGCCGTAGGGTATTGGAGCTGATTCTCATCGGCTCCCAGGAGCCATTGCACACAGCTGTTCCCAGCTCCGTGTGTAGGCTGCGAGCTTGAAATGGACACAGTGGGAGGGTTTACACCCTGGAAATCAGCAAATGCTGTAAATCAGGGCTTTTCCCCAGGGAACCCACCATTAAAAGTTCACCAGCACAGGATCGTGTCCCTGTGTATTTAATCTGACAGCCACCCTGGGCAGCTAGGGGGCTCCTCCCCTTTGCGCATAAAGAATGAAGCCCAGGGGCGCCTGGGTGGCTCAGTCGGTTGAGCATCTGACTTCAGCTCAGGTCATGATCTCTCAGTCCATGAGTTCAAGCCCCGCGTCGGGCTCTGTGCTGACAGCTCGGAGCCTGGAGCCTGCTTCAGATTCTGTCTCCCTCTCTCTCGGCCCCTCCCCCAGTCACACTCTGTCTCTCTCTGTCTCTCAAAAATAAATAAACATTAAAAAAAAAAAGACTGAGGTCCAGAGGGGGGAAGATGTAGCCATGGTCACCCACTGCGCTGACCTCCTGGCCTCTGGCTGTAGGGTACCCCTGGGAGCCCGGGCTTTTCTCTTCCAAGATTTGAGCCCCTCACCCTCCTCCCTTCTGAATTCAGACTCTCCAGGGGCTCACAGGGCAGGTGTGTCCCGGCCCCCCTGGCCCCCCGTTGGGCGGATCCAGGCAGGTGTGGCCTCACAGGTCTCAGGCTCTTGGTGATGGAAGCCACTTACTGGCCACTGACCCTCGGTCTTCCCCAGCAGTAGAGGGACTATGTGTGTGTGTGTGTGTGTGTGTGCGTGTGTGTGTGCGCGTGTGTACCTGTGTGCACATGCGTGTGTGAGAGAGAGAGAATCCCCAAGCATGTGAACGAGTGAGCATCTTTTCCAAACTATTCACAGGTTCAAGGAGTAGTCTTAATAAGATTGACATTAATTTAGCTCCTGCTGTTTGCAGACACCCCCTAGACCTCTTCATACACCTTTGCTCATCTAATCCTTGCAAAGAGGTCTAGCGAGCTTAAATGGCATGGCCAAGGTCGCCCGGCTCTTACATGACAGAAGCATGTCTACCTGACCCCTCACTTGGGCTCTTCCTACTTTGCCAGGCCTCTGTCCCCCATGTCCCCCATCTTTGTGACCCCTGTATACACTACCCTGTGACAATCGCACTCTACAAATCATCTTCCCAGGAGCCGGATGACAGCAAGCACAGCGCATTTCAGCTGAGCACTTACCATGTGCTGTGTGCCTGCGAGGGGCCTGATGTCACCAGCCCTGTTTGATGGAAGAGGCTCCTGGCGGTTTGTCGGGACCCTGGGTCTCCCTTAGATGCCGTGGCTCTTAGGGGGCTGAGTCCCAGCTGCTCCTAGACTGTGGGCTTCTGCCAGCAGGCTGCCTCCTTGTTTCTGCTTATTCTGATCTATCACCTGCCAGGTCCTGGGGCTCAAGACATTCAAGGGGACATGAGACAGGCCTAAAGGGGCCTCTGAGAGAGGCCTAATGGCTTCTTCCCACCCCACCTGCTGGAAGGAAGTGACCTGGAAAGGGCAGGGGCCGGGTCCATGGGAAGCTCGGAGGCCCCTGCGAGAGGGAGGGGACAGTTAGGCCGGCATCCACAGCCCAGCAGGAGGGCTGGTTGCCCTGGCCCCACCTGAGATGTGGCCACAGGGCTGCTGGCTTCCTGGGATGCACGGACACTGGGGGCTCTTGGGAAACCCCCTGGAAAGCCCCTCTGACAAGGCACTTTGCACATCCCTCCCACCACCCCCCCTCGCCCAGTTTGATTTCAGCTGCTGGGAGGCTTTGGGGGTGACCTCAGTTTCCTCTTCTCTTCTATGGGTCTGACAAAGGCCGGCTAGCAGGGCTTACGAGGGCTGAGGACCCACAGTTGCCAGCGCTGATGATGACAGTGACGGTACCAACAGTGACAGCTGCTAAGCTCACGCGCTGCACCAGGCACTTTTTAAACACTTTACCTGCCCCGGGTTATTTAATACCCATGATGGCCCTATGAGGTGGAGCATGTGACTAGCATCGTTCCATTTTACCGACGGAGAAATGAGGCCTGGGGCCGGGTGGCGACTTGCAGAAGCTCGTCCAGCTGGTGGGAGGGAGGTCTGGGAGCCCAGATCCTGGGTCAGTGAGCTCCTGGCTTTTTCTTACAGCTTCTGTTTCTCCCGTGGGCAGGAGCCCGGCTCCTTCACTTCACCCATGGGCTGGAGCCGAGGCCCTGGGATGAGAGCAGGGGTGAAGGATGGGAATGAGTCACTGGGGCACAGTGTTGACAGTGGGTAAGGGCGGGGTAGACAGGGAGTTGGGGCTGACGAGGCGAGGCAGGGTGGGGAACAGGGGGCTGGCCCGCCCGCCCTGCGTTACTGCTTCCCTGCTCTCCAGGGCCGGGCTGCTCAGCTGGGGGAGAGCCAGCTCCCTGGGGCTCGGTGCACGCAGGCCGCTGCCCTGACCATGCAGGGGTAAGGCGCAGCCCTCCACCCCTCCACGGCACCCGCCGCACACCGGGCCAGCAGATGGAGCTAATCAAGCTCTGGGGCCCGGGAGGCAGCAGAACCCCCTGGGACCCCGACAGACATGCCACCAGGCACCTGGGCGTCTGCACCTCCCTGCCGCTGAATCCGCAGTGCAATCCCCCCAAAGTCTCTGTTTGCAGTGTAAACAGCCGCCTTCCTGTGTGCGGCTGCCCGGTCCTGCCTGCCCTCCCGCAGTGCCAGGCAAGAGCCGTGGGGGGTCCACTTGGCTTCCTCAGGCCTCCTGGGCCCATGGGAGGCTGGGTGTTTTGAACATGAGCTTCAAAGGGGCCATCAGTGTGACGCCAGTGACCGCTGTCAAAGAGAGGGGCTCAGCCCGGACTCATAGGGGACAATGGGACCCGCTTCATGTTAAGACAGCTGAGCCCAGAGGCCTCAAAGGATGGGTGTGAGGCAGGTGCACTGAGTGGGGGCACAGCACGGGCAAAGGGAAGGGGGTGGGAAGTACTGGGACTGGCAGGTCCCACAGCACTGCGAGGCTGAGTCCTCTGCTGCTCCGTCCCGTCGGCCACCTGAGGGCAGATCCTTCATCTCCATGGCCCTTCTGATTCTTGTTGGTCAGCACCCAGCATGAACAGGGCCCCTCCCTCTCCGAGCCAGATAACCGATCAAAGGGCAGCCTACGTAGCCCTTATACCAGCCCCGGGACACAGGCGCATAAGCCCTATGTTACACATGAAGAAGCTAAGGCTGTGACAGGTGGTCCAGGCCTGTCCAAAGGCATTCGGGTAGCAAATGGCGGAGTCAGGATTTGAGCCTGGTGTCATCAGGCCTCGAAGCTTGTGCTGGAAGCCACGGCCCCCACCTGAGAGCTCGTCTGGGCTCGTGCTTCCTTCCTGAAATGACCAATGTGCGTGTCAGCTGTTCCCTGGAATCCAGACACTGGTGACTGACCAGAGTGGACATCCACTGGGGACATCCCGGGCCTCACAGGTGCCAGCTCACTCCCGGCTTCCCAGCGAGAGCTGGGAGACCTGAAGGATGGGGCTCTTCCTGGCCTCATCTGGTGAGTCTAGAAAGGGCGTTGGGGCCCCGGAGAGGCCCAGTTCAGGCTCCTGGATGGTATGGCTGAGGACTGTGGAGACGAGGTCTAACCAGAGCTCTCCAGCTCCCACCCCCATTTCATGGCCATGAACTGGACTCACATCTCTTGGAGCATGGACAGGGGCAGGAGGGGACACGCTGGGTTGGGCACCAGGGTCTCTGGTCCTGGTCACAGGTCTGCCTCTAACTTAGTGTCCTCAGATGGGCTGCTTCCATTTGTTTTCCATCTGTAAAATGGGGACAACCTTGGCTTGGCTAGAAGGCCCTGGGAATGGAATGCTGCTATTTCTCATCGTGTTTTGGACACTGGGCCCTTCTAGCCAAAGAAATCTCTGCCCCTGATGGACATTGTGGTCATCGTTCTCAACGCAATGGAGAATTGCACCTGAATGTGAAGAATTGGGGGCAGAGAGAAGTGTGTTCTGTTCGGAGGGAGGGTCTCTCTTCTCACTTCCGCCCTCCGGCCCCCTTGGGGACCCTCTCCTCAAGGTCTGCTGTGACCTTCGGGTTGTGAAGTCCAAGTTCTCTCACTGAGGCTCTCCGGGATTGGGTCTCCTCCCTCCCATTCTCTTTCAGCTTCCTTGCCTCCTCCTCCCCATTCTTTCCTGCGAGCCTCTTTAGAATGCTGGGCTCCTCAGACTCTGGCCTGACGTCCCTTCTTTTCTAGGCATCCCCCAGGTGATCTGGACCACTCTCCTGACCGTTCAGGCTACGTCTGTCCATGACACTCACCCCCAAATCCTGGATGGCCGCCCGGGCCCCCTCCCCTGTGGCCACCACCCTCTCGCCTTCTCTCCCTCAGGCTCAGGATGCTTCAGGCTGACCTCTCCGTCTTCCCATGAGGGGGCTTCCCCCCTCTCACCCAGCAGGTCCACCATGCACCCTGCAACCCTGGCCGGCAGCTGCTCTCCCTCCACCTGCCCTGAGTAGCTTGGGTCACAGTGTACTCTCCCCTTCCTGTCTGCATCCACTCCCCTCTTCCTGGATCACCTCCTGGCCTCTCATTACCAGCGTCATTGCTTAAAACAGGGACCTCTTGCTGCTCGGTGCCCGGAAGTCCCCGGCCTGCCGTCAGGGTCCTTCCTCTCCGCTGGGCCCTCGCTCCACCTCTTCCCCCTCCTCTTCATCTGATGCATATCTGGCTCCCTCCCATCTCAAGGCTTTTGGGTTGGTCCAAAAATGCCACGCTACCGAGAGGCCTTTGAACCCGGGGAGGCCGGCCAACCTCCCACCAGTGCGATGAGAAGACACCTGCCTGGGGCCCCTGCGTGGCTCAGGTGGTTAAGCCTCCGACTTCGGCTCAGGTCATGATCTCACGGTTCGTGGGTTCGAGTCCCGTGTCGGGCTCTGTGCTGACAGTTCAGAGCCTGGAGCTGCTTCAGATTCTGTCTCCCTCTCTCTCTGCCCCTCCCTTGCTCATGCTGTCTCTGTCTCTCAGAAATAAATAAAACATTTTTTAAAAATTAAAAAAAAAAGACACCTGCCTGCAGCTGCCCCGCCCACAGATTTTCCTCTCTCTGAGATTGGCCAGACCCACTCTGTAGTATGTGGCCCCGCCCTCCCCACCACAGCCGATTGGTCCAGGCTGGACACCTGACCCAAGTGCGGCCCCGCCCTCCCCACCACAGCCGATTGGTCCAGGCTGGACACCTGACCCAAGAGCGGCCCAATGGGGTTTTTGCCCATGGTGAGTCGGAAGGCGGAAGGAGCCCACCGGGGCCTGGAGTGGGCAGGCGGGTGGGCGCTGAGGCGCGGCGGCTGGGGCCTCAGAGCGGTGCGAGCCCCCGGCCGGGGCAGTCGGAGGCCCCAGACAGGGCCTCCGTCTCCAGGGGCCCCCACCTCTCACAGCTGCCTCACCGAAGGGAAGGCGGGAAGACGGCGGGCCGGCGGCGCCTCTCTGCCCTCCCGCCTGTCACCGGCCTGACCGGGAAGAGTCCAAGTGTCAGAGAAGCGGCAGGGATTTGAAGGAGCTGGTCCTGGAGCCAGAGCCGGGCTCTCGTCCAAAGCTCACTGCCAAAGACGTGGGACAGGGTTCCCAAGGCCACCGGCGTCTCCGTGGGGTCCCAGCTCTCAGCTGCGCCTTGGGGGCTCCGAGTCAGGATGGGACAGAGGTCCGACCTGTGGGAGCCAAGCCCGGCTGTCCTGAAAGTCCGGCCAGGTGCCCGCACACCTGGACGGTGGAGCCCTGGGAGCTTCCTTAGCCACCCAGGGCCCCTGGGGCTGACCATCGGCCAGGTGTCCGGAGTGGGTGCTGTGAACGCCGAGAGGGCGCTTTTACCTGGGTGAAGGGCAGGGCCCTCTGAGGAAGTGCCCACCCATGCTGAGCTCTGAGGGGCCCACGGCGGGTTGAATGGAGAGCACCCAGCAGAGGGACGTGCCTTCCACAGATGGTCACTCAGAGGGTTGACTTGACCATCAGACGATTTCAAAAGAGGCAGACCGATCCCCACCCGGCCTCAGTTTCCTGCTTTGTACATGGGGAGGGCTGGGCCCCCCGGCGCTGACCCCCTTCCCCTTCTGCAGCCGCGGGCCCGGGGCCGGGTGCCCGCCCCTCTGGCCTGACGTCTGTGCCTGTGAACCCGCAGTGAGCGGCCTGAGGCGGGTGTGTGCCACTGCCTCGGGGTGATGAAAGGAGCTGACGGCTTGGCAGTGTCTCCTGTGGAGGTAGCAGCCGGGCTGGCGGTCAGGCGGTGGGGATGGCGGGAGGGGGTCCCCCAGGGAGGAGAACGAAGAGCCGAGGGTGCTGGACTCCAGGGGCAAATGGGGGCATCAGGGCTCTGGGTCCAATTTGGGTGGGAGGCAGTGGCATGGGGGCGATGAGTGGGTGTCAGGTGCCAGTCTATCTCATGGCCGTGTGAGTCCGGGCAGCCCTGTTAGCCTCTCTGAGACTCAGTTTCCCCACCTGCACAATCGGAGCAATATTATCTACAACACAGCTCACTGCCCCATCCTAGTGCTTACCAAAGGCTGTGGCACATAGTAGGTGTTCAGTCAATGTTTTTGGAGTCAGCGAATAAAATAGACCTGATGGAGGACGGGGTTAGCTGATCTGTTTCCGCACAATGCCAGGCGCAGGGTAGTTCTAAATAAGCGACAGCTCTGTTACTGCTGCTGTGATTATTTGCCGCGGGGGCAGAGGATGGAGCCAGAGTGGGGTTCCAGAGCCCACAGGAAGGAAGTTGGTTGGCGTGTGTGGAGAAGAAGGTGGGGCACGGGGTGAGACTGGAGACATCCCCAGGACCAGGACATGCCTGCGCTGAGGGCCACGGCCAGGAAGCTGGCCTCTGTCCCGACTGCAGAGCAGGGAAGGGGAGATGGCGCGTGTGGAGGCCTTTCTTAGGAAAGTTGGTTGAGAAGTGGGAAGAGATGGGTAGTAGCTGCAGGGTGATGTGGGAGGGACAAGAATCTTACTTCTTGGTCGGGAGACATGAGCATGTATAAAGGCAGGTGGAGAGGAACCAATCTCCTGGGAGTGCTCAAAGGTGTGGAGAAGGACGTATTGACCTATTGGCTATAGGGGTCTCGGAGGCTGGAGGGGAATTCTGAGGGGGCCTCTAAAGGGCTACAGCCTTGGGTTTAGGCTGGGGAGTCTCGTGGCTCAATGGTGCGACAG